AGACAGGATATTTGTCGCACAGAGTTGCTTAGAAAATATATTCATGTTTTTATAGATTAACATAAATCTTTTATTAAAAATTATTATATTTTTGCTATGCATTCCATTTGAAAAAAATTTGGAAATATTACATAGCGCAAAAGAATGTCTTTTAAGTTCATGCGCGGATCTAGAGGGGGAGGGTTGGATTTGTAGAGTTATTTATGGAAGCAAATAAAAAATGACTTTGAACATCCCCTGGAAAACGTGGACCCCACCATCACCACTACGAAATAGGAATTTTTCACGTTTGGGAAATGGATTATTTTTTATTATTATTATTTTAATTTTGGATTAGCTGCAGACCTGTAGCTCGCTAGTCTGAAAAAAATCTCAATATTTTTTTTTTCGAGAGAGCTACAGTTCTGCAGCTAGATTTGAAATTAAACTGAATACTTCGTTTATTTGACTAACGATTTTTAGTCATTAAAAACTCACCAAAAAAAATAATCGTCTTTTCCCCAAGATCTTTGATACTTTTACAACCTTTACCAAGTTTTATTTTTATTGTCAGTTTTTATAGCACTGTGTGTAGTCCGGAGAGACATAACTATTTAGTTAGGGAAAAAAATCGTCATAATTTTTTTAGCACGTTTCCATTCTGTCAGGTTCAAATTCTTCATGAGTCTCGTCGAAGAAGGTGTGAATTATGTTGTGAATTCTTATTTACCTCTACCCAGTAAATATAAAATATTGCATGATTGACGTACATAATACAAGGAAATTCTTTCATTAGAAGGCACAAATTGTTAAAATAACTGACTAAAAATACACACACTGTCGCCAATCTTTGACTGCGCTTTCTTTTATATAATGATAACGTATTATGTATATCTATAGAGCCACAAACTGGCATGGAATAGCAAATTTCAATTCCTGGACAAACAACCCTTGTTTTTGATCCTACATTGGGATGACAAAATTAGACCCCATTACATTACTGAAACTTATCGAGGGTGTATACATTATAAGCTTTAATATCCTGCAACATGATGCCCATTTATCAGATTATTATCAAAGCTTTAAAACTCTTTTATACTTGCCAATCTTGCTTTTTCATAAAATCTTCTACTGATAAATCTGATAATTTATGGTTCGCTAAAGGATCTTTAATTTGCAACAAACATTGGTCTTGAATTTCTTCCCCCATCTTCATATAAATGGCATACTTTCCAGGTCTAAAAGTTTTCTAAAGACCGGGGTATTCCATTCCGAAAGAAAACAAAGAGTTCCTTGGTTGCTCTTTTATTTTCAAAAATGTTACTCCTCAAACCATTCTAAGGAATATTTTTTTTTCAAATTATACAAATCGTTATGTCCGTCTTTTTAACGAAACTAACCTCAAATTTTGATTCATAAAATGTTCCATGCAACTTTTTGTAATGGCAGTTTGGAACATTGCTCAAGAGAGATAATTCAAAAATCCTCAAGGCCACAACGCTCATCGTTGGCCCTGCTGTTCTTCAGAAGATTTTAATTTAGAAAGATTTTTACCCTCTTCATCCCCATGAAAAATTTTGAATCTGTAATGTGGGCCACTCTAACTCCAAACTGAAAGGGTCATGACTTAGCCAAAGTTTCAACCACAAAACATCGGGATGTGTTCTGGAGGAGATTTGTTCCTTTCACACATGCTTAATGTTATAAATTTTAACCTATAATTTAAGTCCATCCCTACCTATGCAGGTCCAAAATAAAAGAAAAAAATAAACACTTAAATTCACACAACTTGAGTATGATTGGGTAACTAGGGTATGATTGCATGTTACCTCGTGTGACTCTGTGTGTCTACTCCTTTTTTTTTTCATTTCTCATGTATGCTTATAAAACTTTGAACTGCTATTTTAGTCCAATGCAACCTCTGAAGACCATAATTTGGACAATCTTGAACCTGGAGATCATGATTTGAAAATCTTGAAACTCCATTACCTAAGGATGCTTGCATATTGATATAAAATCATGACCTTCCTGTGCTTATTGTCACAAGCTTCCAAAAATTACATGTGCATCATTAATACTCTTTATAAAACACACTTAAGTTTCATCTTTTCTGGCCCTGCAGTTCTTGAGAAGATTTTAAAAATGACCACACCCAATTTTGCCTTTTGATTTTCTCCCCTTCGTTTGAAAATTCAATCAAGGATACTAAGTACAAAGTTTGATGAAAATTGCCAAGTGGTTATGGAAAAGTGGAAAATGTGAAAAGTACCTGCATATTAAGGAAGCTCTAAACACTGCTCACCAAAGAGTTCCAATTCCTCATTCTCTATTCAGAGTTGTCTTCCACTACGCTCCCAATATGTGGGAGCTTTGCGGGAACAACAACTCTGGATAGAGAATGTCAATTCCTTAGTAATTTTACTTACTTAGAGGTCGCCCGCGTGGCGCAGTGGTTAGAGCGTCTGCTCTAGAGTCGCGAAGTAAGGAGTTGATCCTCACGTCGCGGGTTCGAATCCCACTGTGGGACGTGGAGACCAGTCCTTCGCATGAGACCGTATAAACCGAGGTCCCGTGTCGCAGTAGGTGCTGGCACGAAAAAGATCCCTCACTGCTCAATTGCCCTCAGTGCTGAGTACAGGTCAAAGAATTTGCAGCTCTCCACTGGCAAGTGGTGGCATCTCCATATGAGTGAAAAATTCTCGAGAGGGACGTTAAACAACATACGAGGGGTGATCAAAAAGTTCGCGAACTATCTCTATATTTAAAAAACCACAATTCAGATTAGAATGAAATTTGGCACACATGTTCTATAAATAGGTGTTAAATAATGTTTTGCTCCGTGTTTGTGACTTCACAATGTGAAAATGACGTCAGTATGTAGGTCACTTGTGACAAAAAATGATCGACTCGGTCGTGTCGAGCAACGAACGGCTGTAAAGTTTTACGTTTATCTCGGAAATTCCTTTGTAGTAGAATATGATAATTTGTACAAGGTTTATGAAGACAAAAGACTTACCAGAAGTTCAATCATTTATTGGATTGAATGTTTTAGTGAAGGCAGGGATATGGTTAAAAATGATGTTTGTTCCGTTGACCAGCGAAAGCAAGCCGGTAAAAAGACGTGTCCTTAGTTGAGCAATTTGTTTTAAAAGATCGCCAAGTTACAGTAAGAAAAATAGTTGAATATTTGATTAATAATATAATTATTAAATCCCTAAAATATCGTTTACTTTAGACTTTAAACATATGAGATATGAAAAAAAGAAGGCGCCCATACTTTTTGCACATTGGATAAACGACGCTCCCGAGACAGAGGACTTGGGTTGTGATGGTCACCATGCTAATTCTGGGAAGGGATATCCTCCTATTGCCGAGATGTGGCCGTTTCTGACAGATGGTCTGTTCTTGTTATAAAAAATTACTTGCATGGTTAGAAAAATAAGACTCGGAAAAATCTCTTCGCTTCTGTGAACAGACCGCTACGAAGCATGTCATGTGACCGCCTGGCTCACGTGATTCGCGCATGGGCAGATGTGCATTAAAATCGGAGGACTACTTTAAAAAATAATGAACACTGAAACCTCATTTTATTTCTTTTAAGGAAGTTAATTAATTAGTTCGCGAACTTTTTGATCCCCCGTCGTACATACAAAGAAAAACTTAGTTAGAGTGATCTGCCCTTTGGTGTAAAATGGAGTAGATTCTACAGTAAATGACACAATTCAAAATGAATTAATACATTAGTCTAGGATAAGAGGAATTGAAAAAAGTAATTTGAATGTATTTTCCCAATGTTAGTAAATAACAGTGATTTTTGTTCACTATTGCTTAATTATCTTTGAACATTTTTCCTGTAGAAATGTTGCAGGCAAAGTATATGTTGAAAATTAACTAGATAAAAGTTAATATGTAAAGCTTTTTATGATAGTTTTCTCAAACTACAAAGTCAAACATTTTTTATTAGTGTGTATAGCTTCCTAAAAGCAATGAGCTGCATTTTTTGAGCATTTTATTTTGCTGTTAAAACGTGCTGTTATGATAAATCTGTATTTAATTTAAAACATTTATGATCAATTAAACTAAAATAAAGCATTAATTTTTTCAGAAGAAAGATTTCCATACAATGAAATGTATAATAATATATTAGAAATCAATATTGTACAGGATGACAATAATGTAATTTTGCTTTAATCAAAGCTTATAAATAGTTTTTCCATTGCAAATATATACAATGTAAAAGGTAAAGATATTAATGAACATTGATCAATCTAAAAAAATCCACAAACAATACAAATACGTGAATAGGGCATCAAACACGGACCCCTGGAAATTTCAGAGGTGGGATCAGTTGCCTAGGAGGAGAAAGCATACCCTGTTGACCGGTCACACCTGCCGTGAGCCCTATGTATTGATCAGGTAGACAGAACTATCCATAGTCAATTTGATACAAAAACAAAGGCCTAACAATTGGTATGAAACAAGTCAGCCAAAATACGACCCAGTGATAAGTTATATTTGCTAATAAGGTCATTATAACGACAATAAAATTTACAAAATGCTGACTTTAGAAGTCAACAGAAGTTTATAAACCTTTTTCTGTCATTGAAATAGTTAATTAAAATATTGCAACAAAAATTTCAGACATCAAAGTTGCAGCTTATATTGCTTTAATAAGACAGTCCTAGTCCTGCTGTTTGTGAGGAGAAAATTTTTAACTTTAAGGATTTTCTCCTATAAATTTTCATTTAAAACTTTCATCCCCTTGGTGATTCTACCTTAATTATGGGGGCTGATATCATTAAACTAGGTTACTGATTATGCACTACCTAAGGATGCTTGCATATTACATGTAATATATGAGTAGACATTTTAAATTTTAAGGCCAGTTTGGTTAACCAGCCCCCTATTCCTTACACTCATACACTTTGCCCAGTGGCTCTGGAGGAGATGTTGAAAATGTAAGAAGTTTACAGACAACAGACACACCGACACTGTATATTTTTTTATTCAGAAAAGCTCACTTGAGCCTTTGGCTCAGGTTAGCTAAAAATTAATCTTTCAATATTACACATTTTCAACATCAGTTTTTCTTCTGTTTCCTTGATGGTGTGCCAGGTGTCACTGTTTTTACTTTGGTTTGTAGTCTTTTCACTGTAGGAGGGGTGACTTCTTTCAATTTCTTGGCTGTCTTTTCTATGGTGACACTCTTAGGTGTTTTTCCTGCCACTTTCTGTTTGATTTCACTTTTAGGAGTTTTCTTTTCAGCAGTGTCTATTGCTGGACTTTTAAGTGTTTTTCCTTTAGATTTCTTTACACTTAATGGTGTTTGTACTGCCTGAAGTTTTTCATCTTCATCCTCCTGCTTTATAACAGTTTCAATATTCATTTCTTTCTTTGCCCTTTGTGACTTCGGTGTTTTCTTTAAATTTTGAGAGGATGTTTTGTTAAATGTTTGAGTGTACTGTACATCCATCTGTGCTGAACCTAAGGACTTTGGAGTTTTCTTTTTGCCTGATTTCTGATCTTCCTTATCTAAAGATGAACCAATATCTGTAGCCATTGGTGTTCTCATTTTTCCAGCAGGGGCTTCTGTTTTCTTGGAATCTCTCTTGGGTGTTTTCTTAGCTTTTTTCTGTGCAGGCTCTTCATTCATCTCTTCTTGGGAGTCATATTCTATCTTAATTTCCACCTCCTCCTCTCCTTCAATAATACCTTCTTTTTTCTCCCCACTTTTTTCACCTTTGATCTCTGAAGAGTTCCTCTTCCTGTTCTTTCTCTTTTTACTGCCACCACTCTTAATTATCCTGACTCGACCATCCTCTGTGACTTTAACCTTTCCATTTGTAACTGTAGTGACCTCTTCTATGACAAACTGCTTTTTAGCTCTTTTTCTTTCAGGAAACACAACAGATTCTCCGATATCTACAAAGTACAATGCATGTATGTTTGTTTTTTTAATTTTATATAATGAAACAGTATCTTTTGACAAATAAGATAAAACTAAATTATAATTATTAATTAGCTTTTAATTATTACTCTGGAATCATATTATTTTATGCATTTTTCATGCACTTCTTGAGTAACCCTCACTTGAATAAATATTCTAATATCACAGATTAGGTCTTTTACATAAAACCACTAAAGAATGTTTGCCAATGAAATCATTTGTTCACCTTGATGGGAAATACTTTCTTGAAATCAAATGGGAACATAGGTCACCATTCCTTTCCCTAAAATTTAGCTGCAGTAGAAATTACTAAGTGTTAAACTCACCAAGTGACATGTAAAATGGAATGGACATAGAGGTGTCTGTTTTGACTTGAAGACTTTTGATGTTGTCTGGTCCCCCTGGGAATTTTTGTGATAGCAGCTCAATGGCCTTCAGTACATTGTCTACAATCTGATCACATGACTGTTCTGTGTGTCCTATGGTCACCACGCTAAAGTAAAAGTTATATAGAACTTAAATACACATGTAGCTTTATCTTCAGTTCATTTCAAATCTTTGTTGCTTACAAATACAGATATCTTCATTTCAACTCAAAAATTCTTTCATATAATCTTTATACTGGTATTAAGAATAGATTATTAAGAAATTGTCAGAATTTGCTATCTTCTTCATTTAAATGAATCTCATCTTATACTACTTAATTTCAAACTAAAAAGAACATTTTTAGGCTCAAAACTGCTTTACAGTCAGTAAAAATGCAATTATACATGTACATGTAATAACAACTAGCAAGAACTTTGATTTTACTTTTGATGATTTTTTCATTCTGAAACTGAAACTCAGCTATATAATATTTTTTGCTGAATTGAATTCTGTTATATGAAATATCATCTCAATAATTGTTATCAATACAGATAAGTTATCAAGGGTAACCTAATTTTTCCTCCCTGATTACCTTGAAGACCCTCTGTTCTTGATGATACATCTGGTACTGTTTACTGCCTTTGTCACCTCAGCTTTCAAATTTTTAGCCTCCAGATCCACCTGAATGGGGTTTCTAAAAAGAATTAAATTACATCTAAGACAACATATAGCTAAAAGTCACATAGCTCGATTTCTAATAACATTGACTGATTTATGTGTAAGAAGTTATGAATGTACCCACAACTGCATAAACTGATGTGTGGAATATCTTTACTTAAACTAACAACATTCCAAGTAAACATTTGCCTGGTACCACAAAAAATTGTTCTCTTTACTGAGGGAAAAAACTCCACAGCAAAAAATACAATTAAAGTACAATGCACATCTCTTATACATGTACATGCAATTTTATTTCTTTTCTGTAGGAGGAGATATCCTAACAAATGTATCCTTCTATCAGCCATGCAGCCACCCGGGCCACCTGCCCACCATTTTCTCCATTTCAGTAACCAGATTTTTCCAGTGGAAATACCCAGTTAACAAATGACATATCTTTCAGAAAGCTAGAAGTTAAAAAGGTTAAAACGAGGTAGTAGTTTTTATCCTTACCTCTTTCTTCCATAAAAATTCTTTCCAAGTAGAGACGGCAAAAGTCTCATGATCCGCTTATCTGCTAAAAACAAACCAAATTCATTGGACAAGTTACGCTTGGCTTCAAATGGCTTGTATTCCAACTTCAGTTCTTTTAGTGGTATAATCTGAAATGAGAAATATCACCTGCACTTAAAACAGAATTTTTCTTTTCATTTATAGCAGTTTCATAATAAAATGAATACATTATAATTTTTTTTTTTCAACGTAATTCTACAGTGATCCCTATTTGAGAAATACTGTATGTGTATATACATAAATGTTGTCTAGAATCTGATCCCAGGACTGGTTCTGTAGCTGCTTACAGTGAGACTTTTGATGTACATATAACAACATGAATGTTTCTTCTTCTTTACTGATTTGGTCAACATTATTGTTGATCATACACATGATACATGTATCTGCTATAAAGAGCAATATGTTACTATTACTCTTGTTTGAGTGGCATGATTATACTTGTCTCTTTATTTTGCCAAATATTTTGAGAAACTCATCTTCAATTTTAAATGACTACTTCAGAAAGCTCATTAAAATGAATTATCAACATATTAGAAATTTACATTTTCCAACTTACTTTTCGGATGCAGTTAACTCCCTTGTCTACCAGCATGTCCCTAAAATGGTCCTCTGTCAGTTCAAACTCACGACTTGTCTTATCTAGGTCTTTGACGAACAGACAGACATCAGTGTCAGGTGTAAAAAGTCCATGTGGTAGATTCCTGAATAAAAATATTTGGGAATTTTTAATTTATTTGTAGTACTGCTAGATTTGGTATTAAAGCAGAGTCTTTGAAAATCATATTGATATATCAGTTTTACCGCTCATCCTTTATTGTGTTTGTATATATATTAAAAGTAGCCCATGGCTTACATCTGAATGGTCAGTTCTGGCATGTTAGGAATTTTCTTCATGTTGATTTGTAAATTAATCCTCTCTCTTTCTTGTAGTATGTCCGATTTTTTATCGGCCACTTTGATTAACTTCAGCAGGCCTGCAACTGCCTTCCGCAGCTGTGATGAGAAAAAAAAAATTTATAAACTTACGGTAAAACTTCTCTTATTTGGACACTACTTGTTTCGAATAAGTTGGTCAGATTAGACAACATTCCAGAATAATTTAATTTTTGTTGTAACGTGTCAGTGGATAAGTTTATATCATATAACCTGTGCAACACAGTATAACTTGGGTAGCTATTAAATTCATTCCTTAATAAGACAACATATTAATGAAGAACTGAATTTACTGAAAAGGACTTAAAGTTGATATCATATTAGGAAAGACTTCTGAATACACAACATTTAGATCTAGACATGTTTCACTGTAATAATTTTCATGCAGTAACACAGACCTGAGTAAATAAATAAATTGTACAAGTATGTTGATCCCCCCCCCCCCCCATTGTTTTCTTTTAAGCCATGACAGACTTGAGATATTTGAATCTCTGCTAGGTAATCATTCATTTACTGGTTTCTAAAGTACAAGATAGCAAACAGCTTGTAGATTACTATGATATTTATACATGTAGATAAAAAAAAACTACAGCTGATCTTGAAAAATGTAAGTGGATCAAAAATATTAGGTGAGAACTACCACATATAATTATATAAAAGAAAAAGCTCAATGTATGACATGCATAGTATACCCAAAGTTTAAAAAACAAACAAGAAAATGAATAAAATATTCAACTACACAAATAGTTTAAATCTGAATTCTTTTTTCATGGACGCATCCTTTGCTAAGAATTGCTCAAATATTTAGTTGACTGACACTTAATTGATAATTAAAGCTAAGATGCAACTCATTTATAGTTTACTTTAATTCATGTATGTGACAAGTGTTGGAAAAAGGACAGCTAGTAAACTACAGAGAGGCTGGTGTGATTGGATGTAAGAACTTTGAAAAAATATAGTCATCAAGAGCTAACAATAGATGTAACTGAACCAGCTGTAAGTTGTGAGGCTTCTTATTTTCCTTCTCATAATAACAGTGTACGCCAAAAGCACTAGCCCGATGCCTGGAAACTAGTAAAACTTCGATCAGGATAGCAGAATGCAGATTGGCACTAGCCCGATCAGACTTGTAGAATTTTCAGCTGTATTACATATACATGTAATCCATTTCTACCTAAGTACTCTTAATAATTGTTAAAAAAATTATCTGAAAAAATTAATTTTTTTGATTGAAAATTTTTTGACTTTCTCAATGACTTTCTTATCTTTCTGTCCAAGCTTATTTGGTTATTAATAATTTGTCATTTCCGGTCACCAATTGTTTAAATGGCTAATAAAAGAAAACAGTAGAGACAGAAACTGCCTCTGACTCAAGAAAAGTATTAAATTAAAATGCACCCTGGAGTTTCTAATGAATGGAAAAATGGTGTGCAGTAATCCATCACTCCGAACAGATTGTGAATAAATGTTTATCATACAGTGCATTGGACTTCATCGTTGTGTATAACAAAACAGTTAATTACAGGATCAAATAATTGACAAATAATGACAAAACAGATGGTTAATAGGAATTTAATTTTTCAAATTAAATGATGAGCCTTGTAGATTAGGAAACAAAACTGTCATTTTTTCACACCTTTATGAGTGATTCTGGCTAGTAAAATTTTGCCATTACTAGTCCGACCGAGCTAGTGCCGAAAAAAGTTTTTGGCACACACTGTAATAACGGAACACTGTAACCTGCAAAACCAGATGTAAGTAATCTTGGCTCAAATTCAGTTTAGCTAGATATTTAAACTGATGCCTTCACACAAGGCCAAGCTGAATTTGAGTGGTATCTGTATCTGTGTAAGGCATTCATTGTAGATTCCATGTAAGTTATTTTTCAACAGAATTAAGAGACTGCTTGGTATTACTGGCAATGTTCTTGTAGCGTGATCTTGAATCCCTGGACATGCAGGACAGAGTCTGGAAGGTGGTTCCGTAGATAAATTTTGTCAATGCAAAATGAATGTTTGTTCTGAATTGTTTTGCTATTTGGTATGTCTAGTCCTCTGCTGTTATCATACCGGTACATATTTAGTGTCTATGTTTGAGATATAATGATCCCTGAATGTCTTTGGTTTAATTTGGCATTTCAGTTTAGCAACTTTATGAAGGAACGAAGGGACAAAAGCAATACCAACACCTCAACCACTAAACATCGCTATTCTATTAATTTTTTTCTCCCAAGAGACACTAGTGATTATTGTTTCTTTACATGCCTTAGGACAAGAGATATAATAGCGAGTATAGCGAGCTCTAACAACAATGCCTGGGCAAAGAGAAAATTTTGACTTTGCACATTGATCCAAATGATTTTTTCTGCGGTAACCACTGGACCCACAATTCTTAGCAAATTGAATCTTGTCACAATCTACATTCTCCCTGTAACAAGAAGCTCAAAGAAAAAAAAACTCACCTTGATTTAATGGATATATAGGAGATAAATAATAGATTAAATGTTCTTTAATATGTTGACAGTGCGGCCATTAGGGCGAGCTCAGATACCTATTCAGTTTTACTTTAGATCAGTCTCTTCAACCTGCACATTTGGTATGTCTAGACTCTGACGTCACATGACGTATGAATAAGTTTCATTACCGTAACGAAGTCTGAACAGTGCTAATTTTAGTAAAGAATGTTTAATCGACTAAAATATCCAGTAAATCAAGGTGAATTTATTTTTGTGTTGAACTTCTGTTGTTACAGCAAGAATGTAGTTTGCAGGGAGATGCAATTCACAAAGGATTGTGGGTCCAGAGGTTACTGCAGAAAAAATTCATTTGCATCAATGTGCAAAGTCCAAATTTTCTCTTTGCCCAGGCATTGTCGTAAAAGCTCACACTGCGATCAGTGCTTCATGCAGCGGACGCAGCGAGCTATAAAAATTGGCATTGTTCAGACTTTTTTGGTCTTAAATGCAACTTACAAATGGTGTTATGTGACGTCAGAGTGTAGTTGTACCAAATAGCATGCCCAATCTAAATTAAAACTGAACAGGTATCTGTGCTCGCCCTAACGGTTGCACCATCAACATATTACCTATTTGTTATTTTAGTCTCCATTCTGAAACTCATAATAGAAAAGGATTCATTGTTTTTTAACTCAAACCCATTGAGGGGCTTGAGTTATCTAATATGATACTTGGTAATTGATTTACCCAGATTAAAAACACAAAAATATATCCTTTGTGTAAATAAAAACATTTCTAGACGAAATTTTTTTTTAGCTTTTCTTGAAAACATCTACATATTCAAAGATAACAAGTGTTATATATCTATTAAATTCTATGACGAAGGAATGATGAGTGATGTTCCGCAGTCGCAACAGTTTCTATACAGAGATTTCGCTCTTTTGTTTGCGTAGGAATCTCAGGTAACTTTTCCAAAAACTGTCAATGCATGGACAAGTTCATTTGCAACTCTGAAAGATGACGCAGGTTAATCCTTCATTAACGTCAGCTGTATCCCCCGAGTATCTCTGACTTCTGTCAGAGTAATTTTTTGAACACTGTTTTGTAAAAAAAAAACAACGAAAAAATGGTTTCTTGTAGTTCCGCAAGATAGTGTTATACTGTCAAAATGTCATACAATGTATTTAGCAAAGGCCTGTCCCAATATATCGTGCACTGCAGTTAGATCAGTCTTATTAACCCCCCTTCCTTTTTATGCACATATTCTGAACACACTAAAATGTGAGATCTATGAATGACATTCTCTGTGTATTGCATTATAAATACTCATTTCTTTGCTTTTGTATTTACCTCAGGTGTAGATACTTCAAGGGTTTTACTTTCCATCTCTCGATACGACGACTTTTCCAGTGACCAACTCACTAAGTAAGTTGCCACCAAGTCTTCAGTCAACAGGAAGTTGCATGTGCGTGTTTTTGACTTCCGGTCATTCGGGAATAATATCTTTTTATTTTAATTTGTTTTGCAAATTATCTAGGAAAGAATATATACATATAGCAGTTATTTGTATAAAAATATAAAGTTTTTGGAAATCAAGATTAAGAATAAAAAAATTAGATAAAAATTACAGAAATTTATAGTTACAAAAACGTCTAAACAAGCCGATTTTTTCCCGGATAAATGATAGAAAGGTACACCGCGGTTTTTAAGGACATAACATTACACAACGTAGTTTGAACTTTATTGACTTTTACTCTGGAGTTGAAGAGTTCCAATACTTAAAGGAACTGTGTGCTACATTTTAATGTCTATATATCATGCTGTTGTACATACACTTCTAAAACAAGTTTGGATAAAACAAAACATCTAGAATATATGTTTAGTATTTTTTGTATATTTTTCTTTACATTATACAAGAATTTTCATCATGATATCTTTTAGAAACCCCTGGTAATGCATGCTGATTTTTTGTCTACGAACATCCGATGGCACTATAGTCTTAATTTAAGCATATCTAGAAAAAAAAATTATCAGTTGGCAAGGTACCTTGTGTATATATGTAGTTATGAAAAAGAAAAAGACTCAGACTATCAACAGTAGCTAAAATCTCAATGGTTAAGTTTTTCAAAAATAGATCAAATTCCAAGGTCAAAGTAAAAGGGTCATAATTTTTCATACCCTTGGAAGGTCTTGTCACAAGGAATTCACCTGTGAAATATGATAGCCTTAGTACTTTACCGTTCAGCATGGCCGTAGGAACCGGGGGGCCGTGCCCCCCCCCCCAATAATTTTTCCGATATATAGATTACTATAGTAAACATAGATACTACAATGTATATGCTTGTGCCCCTTCAATAAAAACGTCTGATGACCTTTTTATTTTGTTTTTTGTTTTTGTTTGTTTGTTTTTGTTTTTGTTTTTTTTTTGCTTGTCAGGAAATTTTTGGTAGTGCCCCCTCAACTGTCAACTGAAAAGTGTATGGCTGTGCCCCCCCCCCCCCACTGAAATTGCTTCCTATGGGCCTGGTTCAAAGTTATTGCCGAGGTTATAGTTTATCAAAAGTGGGTCAAACTCAAATGACAAGGTAAAAAATATTATACCCAAAGGAAAGGTCTTATCACAAGAAATTTAGAAGTGAAGTATGAAAGCCCTAGCACCAACTGTTATGCATGGCCTAGGTTAAAGTTTAATAAAATTTTGCAAAGTGGGTAAAACTCCAAGGTCAACTTGAAAACTATATGCCCCGAATCTTCGACTACGGGGGTATAAAACTAAAATATCTCAAAAAATTAATTATTGTTAACATTTCATAAATTTGAAAAAAAAAAACCAAATCAATTTCTTAAGAATTTATTATTTATTATACTAAAGTCAATACAAGACGTCCTGTTTATATGTACAAATCAATTATATAGAGAATTTTACAGACCAAAATCCATATTATATGTCATATCAGCCCGAGTGGCCCCATATCAGCACAAGGACTGAAGACCTTCGGCCCTCTGGCTGATATTGGTTTCATGGAAAAGGGTACGAGGGGTTATCAAAAAGTTCGTGGACTGATGCGATAAAATTATTACTATGTCGTCGTTGATTACAAAATTAAGAAGGTACATAAAACAATAAAAGTTAAAGAAGTGTTGAAAATTTCAGCTTAATACGTTAATAATTTGCCAAATTATCATCAAATAAAAAAGACATTGTATGATCACCCGGCGCTTTCGCCATTGAATTCAATAACGTCGGACAACGTCATTATTTCTCATTGTTTGCTCCCTCTGTCTCAATACACTTATCTTGATGAGATTAAGTGTAGTTAAGTAAAAACCTAAACCCGTCTTATTTATATGACTTTACAATGTCATGAACAGCTAATTTCAATGCATTAATAATGTAAATAAAACTTTACATAGGAAAAGGTCCTCGCTTGAGTATGCCAGCATAATTTGCTTCTCGGAGTTCAATGTCTACCTCACATAATTAACGTCACTTTTCGGCGTGACTGACTTTGGACACCCTGACTACAAATCGACATTAATTGTGCGTCTCTTCTCTAGTTGGAACTGTTTTGGAATTAAGAAACAAGTACTCTGGATGCATTTTATTTCTCTGTAGCCCGTTTAAACATTTTCTAGGTCTACGCCCATTTTTTCGGGGCTGAAACCTTATAGAATGTTGGAAAATGACGCCCCCCCCCCCTTTTTGACGTCATTTTTAACCCTTTGATTGTTCGAACATTCCATATAAAGATTATACCATAAAACTTCATAGAACTTACAGAATGAGGTAGAAATTGCAACTTTTACGAATCAATTGTGTCATATCACATGAGTGAATGTATGGGACTTTCGGATGACAAATGCTCTTTTCAAAAGAGTTTTTCTCAGTTACACTCAGGTAGAAAATACGTCATGTTGGAGGTTGCGCCGCTTGGACATACCATTGCTTACAAAAACATCAACAATTCATTGAAAAATAAAACTTATGATACATAGTATATTTTATAGATAGAAAAAATGATGCTTATTTATAGTTTAAATATTCATTGATGTACCTCAAGCGGTTTTAATTTTATGGCGCTAGTCCACGAACTTTTTGATAACCCCTCGTATATACGTGTACATGTACTATGATGTATATGTGTATAATTCTCCTTGTGATGATAAACATTCATTCTTCGCAGTACAGTTAAGGTGCGCAATGGAAATATCGGCAATTTTTGTGATTGAGAATATATTCTTAATCAGGATGGCGATTCTTTTCAGTACTTTATTGACATCCGACAAATGTAATTATGGATAATAACTACATATTAAAGACGATAAAATTTTATATTTAGACTTGTCACGTGATGTGGCAGCCACGTGATATAGCATATATACTTGCAGTATCGAGATCACCTCAGTATAAATTTGACTTGTGCAAGGGCATATTCAAGTTAAAATTCTAAATTTAGGGACCAGGCAAAATTTATCACAATGATGGGACCGGTACAAAACAAAATTCTCATTTTAAAATTACGTGTCCCATGACATTCGTATTTAAAAAAAATATTTGTCCCATATCTTTAGACTTACAAAAAATTTACTGTCCCATGGTTTCATCTTGAAGTTCGTGAGATTATTGGAACAAAAATAACAAAAAGTACAATGTTAACAAATTAGGGGTCTTTAGATTACAGATATTTCAAACATCGATGAAAGTTTTTTGTTCATATTCATAACTCTTATTAACATTGTTTATTACTTTCTTATTTTTTTCCCATTAATTTGAAGATTTATGTTTCCATTTGTATCCTTCGTTTGACTTTAAAAGATATGACTTTTTTAAAGAATTTAAAAAAAAATCATTTTATAAATAATTAATGTGTCTCTTGAGTTAAGTAACTCATTTGAAAAAAAAGTTTGTGTCCCATGGGTACTTAGGCTAAAAATGTTTTTGTCCCATGGTTTTCTTCGATGAAAAAATTCATTGTCCCATGCCGGTTTGTACTGGTCCCGTCAGATTGTGATAAATTTTGCCTGGTCCTTTAGAGTTACTGAGTATAAATATTTTCAACACGCATCGTAGTTTCTGAAAAGTGCTGCGATCCTCTATAGATTCTACCATTTCATTGTTAAAATCAAATTTATATGACCACATTCTGTTTTTCTTTTTTGGCTGGTCAAGGGCATTTAATATAGATCTATATAATGATTTCACCAGGATCGCTGCACTTTTCAGATACCTTAATACTTCTAGAGTTTATATGTAAAAGATAACTGTGATCAGAGACATATAATAGAGCCTCCTATATGTCTATGCTGTGATCCATTGAGAGTATGCCCTTGCACTTGATCGATTTATTAAGACCCTTACATTACCCTCCGATGTATTTGCATACAAAATATACGGCAGTATCAATTAAATAGGAAATATACGTAATATATATATAAATAAAATCATAAAGAAGACATTGCATCCAAGTTAATGACCTCTTAAATATCTTTAAATAAAATTTTATTTAATTTATAGAATACATTTTTCTATGAGGCGCCGTTTTGGTATTTACTGCCAAAAAGTGATATCACCTATTCAAATAGGTGATATCACCTATTCAATTGGTGATATCACCTATTCGAATAAGTGATATCACCTATTCAGCTTCTGAATAGGTGATATCACCTATTCGAATAGGTGATATCACCTATTCGAATAAGTGATATCACCTATTCGAATAGGTGATATCACCTATTCAATTTGAATGAGTGATATCACCTATTCGAATAGGTGATATCGCCTATTCGAATAGGTGATATCACTTATTCGAATAGGTGATATCACTTATTCGAATAGGTGATATCACTTATTCCTTTTGAATAGGTGATATCACTTATTCGAATAGGTGATATCACCTATTCAAATCAAATAGGTGATATCACCTATTCGAATAGGTGATATCACTTATTCGAATAGGTGATATCACTTAATCATTTTGAATAGGTGATATCACTTATTCGAATAGGTGATATCACCTATTCAAATTATTTATGAAATAACAACTGCTCCCAAGACTATAGCCTTTAATTCTCTTTTACTTTCACTTTCGTTTTATAACTTACCATTATTGCAGACAATGGATTACAGCTTCGCATTTAGTTTTAAGCAGCCCAGTAGAGTTTGTAGTTTGTTTTGCTCACAAATTATATTTATTACACTTATCTATCATGTATACTATAGGAAAATTCAAAGGGTCTGTAGGTCTCGTTGACTTTCACTTTCGTTTTATAACTCCCGGGTACCTGAGCGTTCTTGGAGACAATGGATTACTTTAAAAGTTGTAAGCATCGCAGTGGAATTATTAAACTTGTAGTTTGTTTTGATTCCCGATTGTTGCAAAGAAGAGGAGAAAATGGATTGATAGATGCAGGTA